AACATGGCTGTATGTTTGTTTTGTTTGAGCTTCTGATGTTTCCTTATAGGTTTACTGCCATCACTGTGTATGATATCTGTATGTAAAAGCGTATGGGCTATCTTTGCATGCAGCTTTTTCACAGATATTCTAGAAGAATGACTGAAGCACAGACTTCAAAAACAAAATATAGCCCAATGGTGATGTCTATCCAACTCAAAACAAATACCGAAATCAATCAATCAAATACAGTTCTACATATATGTGAATGAAGCAAAGGTTTTTTTCATTCCATGTTTATATGACATCTACTTACTTTTGTCTTCAAATAGTTTTATATTCATATATGAACCTGTGTACACAGCACGTTTCTATTGGAATTTCTTTCAGGTTCCATGTCATCTTTCGTTTGGGGGTTCCCCTTTTCTCTGCCAAAGGTAATATCATATGAACATTGTCACATTTCGTATTGAAAAATTTTTGTTTTTAAGCTTTAATATAAACACGAGGAGCGATTTTCAGCATTAAAGTAAATTGAGTCTGAAAGTATTTTCGTTTCTTTAATCTCAGCTGGGCAGTCACTTCCTGCTGTTCAAGATTCTGCATTCCACTCATTGCTCGTTTTCAATGAATTCATAGTTGCATCATGGTGAAGTCCACAGCCGTTCTATGACACCACAGGAACCAACGAGTAACACCCTCCTTTGGTCTTAGTTTTCTTGAGCCTCTTCCTGCCTTTCGCTATCGCTCTCGTCACCGTCGTCTTCCTCGGTATTAAAATGCATATCAAGTAGACTTTGGGCTTTGCTGCTCACAGTCGTGTCCGTGTTCCTTTGCAGGATCTCGAGTTTCTCCCTTCCTCCCGCCTCTGCTATCTTTTTAACAACTGCTTCCTTGTCTCCACACTCCTGTTGGAAGATTTAGTTGGTTAGCAATAAAGGAAAAGCCTTTTTGGCAAGTTCATATTGTTTTACATAATCAACGTTGGTCTTTGAGACATCTTTTTCTTCCTAGATTTTCCTCGCCCCTCCCCTCTCCTTCGTCTTATTCACAATTCGCCTCTCACCATACCATTCCTTTCCCTTTATCTATCATCTTGCACTCCATCTAGTTTGCTTCCCCTGGCTCATGAGGAGCAAAGCCCCTCTCCGCCCTCGGTATTCCCCACTCCCAACACATCTAAACGCCCACACTCAGACACCAACAGACACAGTCACATCCATCTCTGAACACTATAATGTATAGACCAACACCCGTATATAGTTTTACTTACACAGTCTTATCTACACACTCTCCTTACAGCCTCACTGCAACTCTACCCATTTCCTTCCTCGAGTGGATCCTCCTCCACTGGAGTCTCACGCCCTCAGCATGCACACCCTCTCCTATACTTACCGCCAGGATGTTATCAAGCCCCTCGAGTGCCACGGTGACGACGGAGGTTTCAAAGACGCCCAAGACCGTCACGAGGGCCTCCACGCCGCCCGCAGCGACCAGGGCCTCAATCTGACTCTGCGTGCCCCCCGATGTGAGGTTGGAGAGCGCCCACGCCGATTCCTTTTGCACGTCTAGGAATCCCTGGTGGGGAAAGTTGGTCATTTAAGAGAGATTTTTGAGTAGGTAATGGTAGCCTCATTGCATGTGGTTGTTGGTAATTCGCAACAGACATTGATAAGAAAAAAAATAAAAAAACTTTGGTTCAAGTAACAGACTCCATCTGGAAGTGGATCGGTAGGTATTTATTGTTATTTCATTATTATTAGTTTTAGTATTGGTATTAGTATTAGTATTAAAGTGATGTAATGAACCTACACTTGGACACCACTTTAAACCCTGCATCACAGACCTAGATATTACACTGGAAAAATAAAACTAAAGTTTGAATTCAGAATCAGATCTTGTTTATCTTAAAGGCCTCAGACGAAGGGCTTCCACTCTGATTCAGAGATGATGCACTCTCGCCTCGTGCACTCTCGCCACGTGCACTCTCGCTTCGTGCTCTCTCGCCTCGTGATCTCTAGCCTCATGCACTCTCGCCTCGTGCACTCTCGCCTCGTGCACTCTCGCCTCGTGCACTCTCTCACTCTCGCCTCGTGCACTCTCGCCTCGTGCACTCGCCTCGTGCACTCTCGCCTCGTGCACTCTCGCACTCTCGTGCACTCTCGCACTCTCGTGCACTCTCGCCTCGTGCACTCTCGTCGTGCACTCTCGCTGCGCCTCGTGCACTCTCGCCTCGTGCACTCTCGCCGCGTGCACTCTCGCCTCGTGCACTCTCGCCTCGTGCACTCTCGCCTCGTGCACTCTCGCCTCGTTCACTCTCGCCTACTCTCGCCTCGTACACTCTCGCCTCGTGCACTCTCGCCACGTGCACTCTCGCCTCGAGCACTCTGCACTCTGCCTCGCTCTCGCCTCGTGCACTCTCGCCTCGTGCTCTCTAGCCTCGTGCACTCTCGCCTCGTTCACTCTCGCCTCGTGCACTCTCGCCTCGTGCACTCTCGCCACGTGCACTCTCAGTGCACTCTCGCCTCGTGCACTCTCGCCTCGACACTCTCGCACTCTCGCCTCGTGCACTCTCGCCACGTGCACTCTCGCCTCGTGCTCTCTCGCCTCGTGCACTCTCGCCGTGCACCAGTGACCGCGGTGCAGTCGCTGCGGTACGACAGGCTTTAGCGTTGTGGCGTTCGGGTTGTGTTTTGGCGGTATTTCAAAATCAGGGTTTGAGATTTGGTGGACGAGAATTTGGCGACAAAGATGTTGATTCCGCATTTTTTTTTTTTTTTTTTTCGGCAAAAAATACGGTCGGTCGGGTTACCTGAACCAAAGTTTTCTTTTTGTTTGTTTTCTTTGGCCTGTTAATGCATGAAATATAAAGATAATGATAATAATATAACAACAATATCAACAAAACAAAATTATAATAATAATGATAATCACGTTAATGATAACGATGCTGATATTATTATTCATAATATTAATGATAATAATAATAATAATAACAACAACAACGTTAATCATAAATGATATTAATAATAAAGCTAATAATAATAACAATAATAATATCAATGTTTATAATTACAACAATAGTAATGGTAGAAAAAAACAACATTGCACAAACTAAATATAGTTTGTGCATTACTTTTATATTAATAACCATAACAATCATGTTGTTCAAGGTTGCACATTTTACAAATGATATGTAAAAATAAATTATTTAAGAAAGCCGACAACCTTCCGCAGCGCAAGCGAGAGGCGCTACAGATTCCATTTCCTGAAAAACTCCTGATGCTTAAACACTTTAAACCGCTCGTGTCCCACCCTCTTACCTTATAAAATCTTGCCTATACTCCATGTTAATAATTCTCAGAATCAGCAATAGTTTACCCTACGCATAAAACTAAATTTTCTTTGGCCACTCCTTTTAGAAAACGGAGATGATACTAGGAATGGCTTAGCTAAATGCTGTGTAATTGTGCATGTGAGTCAGCCGCTGTACTGTACTGTCTACGGTATAATGGTCACAGAGAATACCTCGATTTGAGAAAAGGTAAATTAGACAAATATAATTCACGTTGTACCTGATATTTTTTTTTCTCAAAACGTGTTTTTTGTAGTAAGGTAGTTCCATTTAATATTTTAACCAAAACGCCAAAGCACACCATTGTAACCACATTTTCTCTCGTCAGTGTGATCCCTGTATCAGTACGATGAGCTTCACGTCTCACGAGTGTCAGATCGATGAAAAGGGAAATGTGTTGTCGCGATTTTAATGACTTGACAGACTATTTTACGGCTAAGAATATGTATTATTACCCTCGGAATATACTGTATAAAATCTAGCTACAGAATTCGACCAAATAAGGAGTGCGGGCTGCAGTAACAAGCTCTCACGAATCAAAGCATATCGTTCACCTCCTCAATGACCCTGACGAGTTCGGGAAGCAGACCCTCGTCCACCACCTGCTGGATCTGCTCTTTGGTCCCCGCCGTGACGTTGGAGAGAGCCCACGCCGTCTCTTTGCGTATGTTCCTGCGTGTGTTCCTCAGCAACAGCTTGTACAGAGGCAAAACACCGGCCGCCAAAGCAGCTTCCGTCTGCGGATTAGATACGGGAAGGCGTGTGGGTGAATCTTGAACAGCTTTCGTCCGCGGTTTAAATATTGGATATATGGATGAATCTTGAGGGTAGGTTTGAACAGTTAATCCTCAGTGGCCTAGGGAATACAAATGTACGCGAAACGATTAATCCTTTAAATACACACATACACTATATAACCTACTGTCAAGACCAATACGATCTTTCAAACAAATCCCTAAGTATTCTTTCCACAGCCGCTGAGAACGACACCCAAAGCACCATACCTGCGCATCGTTCCCGCTGACGATGTTGCCAGACGCACGAAGCGCGGGAACGACCATCTTACTCCGCTCCGACTCCAGGTGCCGCACGATGACGGGAAGGAGGTCCTCGCCGAGCACTCCCTCGATCTCCTCGTCGCCCTGCTCCGACAGGTACGAGAGGGCCCACAAGGCGTCCACTGCGAGAAGGGAATCGGAAGCTAACAGATGGTAATGAGTAGATCAAAGGGAAATTGTAATCAAAGGAAAGATAGGGAAGCGTCTGTGCTTCATGAATCTAAGGTACTCTGCTGGTCGAGATGGCTGGAATTTTCAACTGCGAAACACCAACAGGAAATGTGAAATGAAGATTTTATCTATTGTGGCGACCGCACTAAAAAAACCTTATCAGTTACACCCTCATTTAATTTAATGGAATGAAACAGTGAATGCCAGACTAATAAACAGAGACAATAAGCCAAATAGATAGCTACAATAAGTTTACTATTCAAATAAAAAATAGATATTGTAGCCAGACAGTGTTCGTTAATGTTAATAATGATAGACATAATATCGATAATAATGATAATGATAACGAGAACAACAGTAATAATGATAAAGTAATAATCATGATAATAATAATAAAAGTAATAATAACAATATTGATAATAAAGGTAATAATAATAATAACAATGATAATAAGGATGAGAATAACGATAATAATAATGATATAACAATAATAATGACGGCAATGGCGTCAATGCATAGGATGAAGTAGTAATAATCATACATCATAATATACTATCACAGCTACTACAGCTACTACTACTGCAACTACTACTTTTGATAGTAATGATAGTGATAATAATGGTAATTGTACTGATAATTATAATGGTAATAATGACAGTGATAATTTTAATGATAATAAAGATTATAATAATGATAATAATAAAAACACAATGGTAATGTTAATCAACAATAAACATACTATTGCAGCAATAGTAAGAACAACAATAAAAATGTTTAGTCAAAAGAGAAACTAAAATAATGATGGTAAGAATAGCAATGAAAATAACGATGATAATAATTGATAATAATGATAACAATAATAATAATAATAAAATATTCATAATAATGATAATGATAATAGTAAGAGTTATAATTATAATTATAATAAGAACAATAATAATAGAAATAATATTCATAAGGATGATGATGATGATGATATTAATGATAATGATATTAATTATGATGAATAACGAAGCTAATAATAATGATGATAACAATAATATAAAATGATGACGGCAGCGTAGTAGATACAACGAAAATAAGCATGAGTAATAACAGAAATAATAATGATCATAATTTCTGTTTTTGTTAAAACTTTATACAATGATAATAATAGAATAATGAGTATAATAATGATAATGATGATAAGGATAAGGCTGAGGATCGTGATAATAATAATAATGAGAAAAGAATACTAGTACCAGTACTAATCATGAGCTACAACAATAATAGTAGTAGTTGTAGTAAAGATAACAGTAATAATTACTATTAAAATATTTCAGGCTAATTCTAGATGATAAAGCTCATGGTAATAATAACGGTATAATAGATAATCATTATAAACACATAAAATAAAACAGGTCTACATGGAAATCACGCTCCTGTCAATCAAAAAACGTGTGACGGGGTTGTTGACTTCCTTTGACCACCTATCACGTGACTTAGATTAGCTTACCATTGACCTCCTCGTCAGGGTAGTTGACCAACACCTTGAGAGTGGCGATGGAGTCCTTCAGCTCGTCCGGGTTGAGTGCAAGTTTCTTATTGCGAAAAATGTTTGCAAACACCCATGCCACCACTCGCACCGTTGACACCTGCGGGTAGAGTTTTGTTTCTTTTTTTTTTTTTTTAAGCTTTGGAGATAAACAGTTTTTTTTTTTTATTTTTTTTGTCAAATACATTTTTTATTAAATGATGAGGATAATAATGAATATCCGACTTGTACAGCAATTACTAAAAAAGGGAAGCACATTGGTGTAAACTACACGGACGATATTCTTATTACTGTTTTCCCTTTCACACGTAAATCAAAATCAAAGCTGTAGAGGACACATGTTCAACCAAAACTCTGCTTAGTATCACCTTAGTCGAGTCTTCTTCTTCCCCAGTCTTGATGATCTTTACAAGGGGTTGCAAGATGCCCCCGAGCAATACAGCGTCTCTGGATTCCGGTCCGTCTCCCGCGACGTTACCGAGTGCCCAGGCGGCCTGTTCGCGCACCTCTGCCTCGCTCGAGCTTCAGGGTTGTTTTTGGGAGAAGAAAGAATAAGGATTTTTCTTTTGATCTCTCTCTCTCTTGCTCCGTTTCTGCCCCCCCCCCCCACACACACACTTTCTCTTTCTCTCAGGGCCGAATTAAGATTCTACAAGCTAATCATGGTGTCCCTTTGGCCCTCTTAGTAGTTACCGGCCCATCCGATGGTTTCCACTCAGCTGAAGGCACCACTTAACACGTCTGTTTTTGTTTTGTTTTTTTCCTTGGCCCTTCCGATATTGTTTGTTTTGCCCTTTCAATGAGGCCATTTCTGTTGCATCCTTTTGCCCCCCCCCCCCTTGGCCCTTCCTAAGGTCCGCCTCGGTCCAACAGTACCCCCTCGGATGTTAGAATATGTCGATAGTCATTTTTTACGAAAGTGGAATTCAGCAATGTCTATTGGCTACAGTAATGTAGACTGTAGGATGGAATGCTCAATCTTAGTTGCCCTAAGGATAATCTTTCCTCTCTCCTCTTCCTCTCTCCCTCCCTCTCTCTCTCTCTCTCTCTCTCTCTCTCTCTCTCTCTCTCTCTCTCTCTCTCTCTCTCTCTCTCTCTCTCTCTCTCTCTCTCTCTCTCTCTCTCTCTCTCTCTCTCTCTCTCTCTCTCTCTCTCTCTCTCTCTCTCTCTCTCTATCTTTCTATCTATCTCTCGTAATGTATTTATTCACCTCTAGCCGTACATACCTACGACAGCTGCAGTTTGTTTAGAGTTCCCAGAAGCTATATTGGTCAGTGCCCACGTAGCTTCCAACTGAAGTTTTGGACTGTAATGTTAAAAACATTTTCGGATATTATTTATATCTAGAGTCTTGGTAGCATAACAAATAAAACTAAATCATGTCTTTCATATCCAGATACCTA